CGTTTTGTCATAATATGAAAAAATTGCACTTTCAGAACTACTTTCTGTCCGTATTAAGTCGAGGTTACTATGAATAAAAGTCGAGTTGTTCCGATTGGACATGAAATGTCCTTTGTAAACACCTTTAAAATGTGCATACGTCACAGACAGGTTCGTGTTATAATGAAATTTATAACATAAACCGCAGCGCAGGAGTGTAATAAAAGCAATATAACACAATTGTAATAATTTTGACGTGACGTCATTTGCGCTATATGGAAACATAGCGTTAAAGTGCACTAATGTTAGCGTAACACTAAAGTTACGTCACTGAAACATTACTCATTTTAACAGTTTACTTTTCTTATTTTATATATGTGACAAATAGAATACTACATTCTTGTAGATTCAATACTAAATTTATTGAACTCGTTAAATAAAACAATATTATGCTCGCCAGTATGGTGGCATATTTCTGCCACCAGATAACCATTAAACTAACTAGTTATATAACTAGTAAACCTCTTAATTAACTAGTTAGTTATCAGGTTAACTAGTTACGTAACTAGTTAATCTCTTAATTAATTAGTTATGTATCAGGTTAACTAGTTACGTAACTAGTTAACCTCTTAATTAACTAGTTATGTATCAGGATAACTAGTTACGTAACTAGTTAACCTCTTAATTAACTAGTTAGTTATCAGGTTAACTAGGTACGTAACTAGTTAACCTCTTAATTAACTAGCTAGGTATCAGCTTAACTAGTTACGTAACTAGTTAACCTCTTAATTAACTAGTTATGTATCAGCTTAACTAGTTACGTAACTAGTTAACCTCTTAATTAACTACTTTGCTATCAGATTAACTAGTTACGTTACTAGTTAACCTCTTAATTATTTAGTTAGTTATCAGGTTATCTGGTTGCAGAAATATGCCACCATACGCCAGAGCATCGCATAATATAATTTTATTCAACTCGTTCAATAAATACACTCATTCAATATCCACTATATATAGGTAACAAGTCTGCATGTACTGGGAATCTTTAAAACGAAATAAGATAATTTAAAAACAAATTTATTAGTTATATGAAAAGATCAACAAAATATAATTTTTAAGTATTGGTGGAATCGAACATAATGATAGATTCAATTTATAGATTAAAATATCACTTGGGCATGAATACATTATGTTTCACATAATTGCACATTTTCTACTGATACTGTAGATAAAGTAATTTAATTTCAAGCTGTCTTAAATAAGACATTATAAAGCTTTTTGTTGCAGCACTATTAATAGTCACAATAATTACAAAGCACCACAAAACTTCCAAAGTTTATATAAAATTCACTACGTAGTTCATTGATATGCTTACAGGGGGAGGGGGGATTTGAAGTACAGATAGTAACAACTCTCAGAGAAACAATTCATTAATGATGAGCAAACTTTTTCAGTGAAAAAAAAACATTCATTATTATTATTATTATTATTATTATTATTATTATATTTATTATTATTATTATTACTTATCATCGAGTTATAACTTTAATTGATAACCAATATTCACCTTCACATTAACTCAAAAACAGACTTAAAACAAATACACCGATGTACATTAAGCCTTAATATAACACGTTTTACATGCCTGAGGCATGGCCTGTCGAGTGCTCATTCAAACTCACACAAGCCGTAACGTATTAACCCGCAAGGCCTTTCACGCCAAGTCCATTTCCTGTCCAATTTAGAAAGAACCATACATTGTTTACTCGAGTCATACGGTAACGGATGCCCATCTCGCCATTTTGAGTACCCGGCAGACACGGGATCCCCGTTTTCCCAGAAAAATTCTCCCATATTTCCTGAATTTTGACCACCTAGCCACATAGTATTTCCATTATCTGTAACATAAAATATCTAATATGAAATATAAAGTGTCAACAATGATAAATATTAAGTGATAATGGCAATACATGCTCTTAACTTACTGAAGCAGAATAAGTGTGGAGTCCCTTTCCCTTACACTACGTTTGTTTGTTTGTTTGTTTGTTTGTTTCATTTTACGCCTTTTCCCAACAGTATTTCAGTCATATAGGCGGGTAGTTTCCTAACCATCGTTCCTGGAGAGTTACACCAGTACTAGACTACCTTCCTCCGCGCTAAACTACCAAAGCATCTCTCGGGAATCGAACCAACGCCAGAGAGGTAACTGGATTAGAAGTCATCGACTCTAATCCCTCGACCTGAAAAGTCATATACCAACAAAGGGAAGTAACCGCTGTGAGCATTTAGATATTGAGCGAGCTGATTGTAATATTTCAATTTGAACCTCTATCAATTATCTCGACGGAATAATCACGGTCTTCAATTAACAATTATCGTCCGTGAAATAATTAATGAATACATTCTCATGAAGTATTAATAGATTTAATGCAATACGAAGCTTGTGGTGCTTGTATTATGTTTTTTTCGAAAGCCCAATATGTGATGGGGTTCGTTATTATTGAACATTTTCTCGGGAAAATGAATAAATCTATAATAAGTAAAGAAGTATTTCAATGATAAATCGTTAAATCAACATGCAGTAAATATATGTATTATTCTGTTTGGATTATACTGTGTAAACGCGGTGTTTATCTGCAAAATCCAAAATATCATAGTAAAAAACATATATATGCTGACAGTAAGTCATGGCTTGAGTATACGGCTGACATCTGAGTGACGGCGTACGTCTAAAAGTGCAAATTTGTATTACAATATTATAGAATTCTAGTCACATTATGATACTTTCTTAGCAATAATTTAGTTTTGATCATGTAAAATCGTATACTTCGTTTTATGAACAGTTATCTCCCTTGCTGATATTCAGTTAATGAAAAAGGGAGCGGTGGTCTAGCAGTCTACCAAAGATCATTGGTTTGAGTCCTACCCGGATCACGTCCATATTTCTTCATATTATACCAGTACTGGTTAGTTCCAGGAAGCGGGCTCGAAAATGATTAATTCAAGTTCCAAGACGAGCTTTAATAATGTGACTGTTTATTAATAAACCAAAAACAAATTATCAATGAGTGACTGGCGAGTAAATCGGAGAACAGCACTGCCGTTCAACACTGTAACGTAGCGATTTTTAACAGACTAGTTTAAATAGTCTGTTATTGGTACTATGACAACACTAAGTTTGTATAAGTCAGTTTAAAGACTGGATAAATTCCGAAAATTTTATTCGGAAACGGTTGTTGACATGCTCTTGGTGTTCATTTAGAAAGCATTTGAAGAATTCGCGGCTAATGGTTAAATTAAATATTAATATATTTCATTAAAAGAATAGCCGTTTACGAGATGAGTAGATGATAAAGGACGGCGTGATCAATTATATTATGATTTCTTGGAGACTGTTAAACTTTGCCATAGTAAATATCGTGTCAACATTACTTCATTTCAACGTTCTTACAACTTTGGGTGCCTGTTGGTTTGGAATCAATGAATATTTTGATTAATATCAAACCAGATTTAACAATACCAACCATGAATATGACCATAAAGCACGATTATTCACATAAGATCCTAAAGTCAAAACTTTAAAGATATACTATTACATCATTGAATAATTATTTCAATCAGAAATTTATTGAAATCTATAAAAGTCTTACTAAATATGTGTAACGTGAATAAACAAAATGAATACCTGTTTTGTGAAGCTGTTTCACTTTTACCGGTCGAGTAAAATTGGTACTTTCTTTAAAAATCTGCCAGTTTTTTTAATGACACTATATCTTCATAATTATTGTGGCCACAAATTATTTTAAACATAACATATCTACTTTGTGTGAAGTCAAGACATGTTTATTTCATATTTACAAAGAGACTTATACGATTTTTAATATTTCATAACTATCAAATTTGAGCATGGCCTATCTTTAATATGGTAATTATGATTATGTTCAAAACTTTCCATGATACAAAACACGGATATGATCAACAACCCTTATCTAAAGTCCATAATTATATATTTGGGGATTGCGAACTTAAGAATTACATATCTCAGAATTATGAAACAAATAAAATAGTTCAAAACACAAACCGGAAGTGACTTGCGTTTCGATGAAGAGTTGTTCCTCTTGTGACTTAATATATGCTAAATGGCCTCCAATGTCTTCACATCTTTCCTGGAATTCGTATGGAATGGTTTAAATTCAATGAGCTATACAGAGCAATAAATTTATATTGATAATGATCTGCTTCAGTAAACGTTGTCCGAAACTCGGCAAATGCAGCTTTCCCCGTTTTATCCCGGTATGGCGGCTAATTTGGAACACTTTTTTGTGCGTCCTGTTGTCGCTAGCGACAACACGACAACGTGCGAAACAGCACCTTGTCGGACTTTCGTCTTGTCCGATACGCGCCACAGGCGCTTTGTCGTGGGCGTGATGTTGCGACGTCACATTGTCGCTCAGCTCAAATCAAAGGATTTGCTAATTGTATATATCAATTCAGCCACCATATACCGGGGTACAAACACACTTTTATTGGTATAGCGTCACTAGAAAATTTGTCAAGATATAATTATCACATATTTCTTAATAATTTATGAAGAAAATACATTGACTATAGGTCGCAAATAACTTGATGATATTCGCCGATAAAAGGCGTTAAACCTGCACATTTCTGCGTTGCTTATTGCACGAATAGTGCGTTATTTTCACATTCCGGCGTTACTGGATATACACGGTGTTCACGGTACACTAGAGTAAGCAACGTGTTGCGCTTGTTATCAATATAATTGTTTACCAACTGGGAAAAGTAAAAGTTTGTTTGTACCCCGAGATTAGATACATATACAGGAGGCCAACATTTGCCGAGCTGCAGAATTTCTCTATTAGTTTTGCCTAAAGTTTTTTACTATTCCATGATTTAAGATAGTGTCACTGTAATGCTTTCCCGCCAAATTGCTCAATGTCGTTATTAATCGATCTTTTCCGGAATGTTACTTTACAAAATCAATTTTCGGTATTCAATAAATCTTAACGATTTACAACCTGAATTCAGTTCATATTGATAAGGAATGAGTGATTGTAAATAATCTATTACCCAAGATTTGAACAAAAATGCTGTTCGGGAAATAACCGATTTGCTACGATAATGGTCGATGTTAGAATTTTTGGCGGGAAAGCATTACAGTATGACTACCTTAAGTATACTGACAATTTTTGCATTAAAACGGCAAAATTTTCAGAGAAAAATACGTTTCATATCATATATTTCAAATCAATCGTTATGAAACATCGACACAGATAATTTCAAATTAAGCTAAGGTTTTAGATTTGAATAGAAATTTTCTTCTTAAAAAAAGAAAGAAAAAGAAAAGGTAATTACCTTCGACTTGCTCCAAGTTAGTTTCTTATCTATCAGTTTGTAGGCTGTAATGTAAAAAGATAAAAAATAAAATGCATTTTGTTAATTTACTTGGCATTTGTAACAACAATAGACCTTTTACGTAATTTTTAAGAGGGTGACTTTAACGAATGTCTACTGTTCATTTGAAATGACTTTTCCTCCTTTGTGATTTTTTAAACTAATGGTAAGACAATATCTAAGTATATGATTTGCTTATGAATGTATTTCTATATCTCCTCCAAATAGCTTTCGCCATGTTTCTACATATGAGCCATGCCATGACAAAACCAACATAGTGGGTTTGCGATCAGCATGGATCCAGACCCGCCTGCGCATCCGCCCAGTCTGATCAGGATCCTTGCTGTTCGCTTACAAACCCTACAACAAGTAGAGAAATTGTTAGCAAAAATCATGGATCCTGATCAGACTGCGCGGATGCGCATGCTGGTCTGGATTCATGCTGGTCGCAAACATACTATGTTGGTTTTGTCATGGCGCAGCTCATGTAAATACAATAAATTTTGTTCAAGTAAAAATGATTTATTAAATGCAAGGTACTGGAATAAATATATATATTTTACATTGACGTTTTGGGGAGGGCTGTTGCTAATGTTGTTATAACTTGTAGCCCGACCCATTTGCACTATATATCTGTTTGTCAATATTTGTTTTTTATTAATCATATACATGTAATCTTACATGTAAAAATTTACATCTTAAATGTACATTTAAAAATGGTCATGTAAGGGCTGCCTTGTTTTTTCTTGAATAAAAATTTCAATAACAATTATCCATTAAATATGGGTCTGTAGATAAATCTGTGAAATTGCTTTAATGACATATTCAAGTCTATCAGAAATAAACTGCAATTTATCAAAATTGTCCATATACTTTTAACGTAAAACAGGACCCATTACATATAGTCTGAATTCCACATATCTAGTCCTGTGCTTTTAATGTTTGTTCATGCGTTATAGCAACCTTGTATTTTTTACATTTTTTCCTGCTTAGTTTTCTAAGAAACATCAACAAATAAAAACTTTAATTACTTTTACGCCTGTAGTATCGTGTACCGTTCAACAATGGTGTGGTTTCACTTCTGAGAAATTTGTCTTCACATCCAATACAGCGCATGTCCTGGCGTCTATGGAACACACCGAAGCAGGTTCGAGTCTCCGTGCATTTAGCGGCACAAATAATCTCACTTCGTACACCCATTCTGTCAAATAATGTTCGGTTATCAGGACACGTGTACCCACTCAGACTCGAATATAAGATATATTGCATGTTAATTCCGGCAAAAACACGAGAAAATACTCCAGTTAACATACAAATAGATAAACGAAGAGCCATCACACTGAATTTCAAATACTAATTAAGGTATTGACTTAATGCAATTTGATTTAAATTTGACTCTTTAGGAAAGGACGAGCATGTTAAATTCTTTGTTTTACAAAAACGTGCCATATTCATGAAATTATACAGAAAAATAACTCTTTCGCTGTCGAAACATTATTTCTGTATTCTGTATTTATAGTTACATTTGAATCAGAACATATTATTCCTGTATAATATTCGGGTGACTAAAGTATCCTAATAAGATAGTTATGAGATCCGTGCAAATTGTTGAAACTATAAAATTAAACATTAATTCAATATCTGCTTAAACTCTCCAAATTCAATCTTTGCTTAACTTGTCCAAAGGCGACGTCCTTGGCCGTGTAGTTAAGGTCGTTGACTTCAAACCACTTACCCCTCACCGCTGTGGGGTTGAATACCGACCGGGACTTTGGATTCTTTCATGTGAGGAAGCTATCCAGCTAGCTTACTGAGCGTTGGTTGTTCTATACACGTGTTGGTTCGTGAGGTCCTGCCTCACCAGTAAAGCTGGAACGCCACATCATTTTCGTTTTGTAAACTGCTTTTTCCTTAAACACTGTAGAAATATACTATTAAACAGTTATAGGTCAAAACCCGAACAATAAAATAGTTTTATTTATATTTTACTCTTTCGGTCAGACATTCCTTTCACAAAACTGTTTCTATATTTTTAAAATTTAGCCTGAACATGTAACTGATTCTAAAAGCAGACCAAGATAAATTTACCAGCACAATCGCCTCGTCTGATCATGGTCTGCCCTGCTCGTTATTCAGTCACTCCATAATAACCACTTGCCCCTTACCACTGTGGGTTTGAATACCGACAGGAACTTTGGATTTTTTTCATTTGAGGAAGATATTTAACTATCTTACGGAACGTCGGTGGTTCTACTCAGGGGCGAGTTCTCGCCTGAAATAATGCATGCAAAGGCACTTGAGATTTTCCTCCACTAGTACAGCTGGAACGTCGCCATATAACATATACTGTGACGTAAAACCCAATCAAACCAACAAACAAGCACTGCATTATAATAGAAATAATCCCAAAAAATGATGGCCGGTTTTATGTCCAGGTTAAATTATGGACAAGTAAAAGATATCCAGCATGGTAAAATTAAAGTCCTTGAAATATTTGTACATAAAAAATAATAAGATATTCACTTACAAGAAATTCATTTGCAGTTATGAGCTTGTTTTTAATTAATTCGAGCATGCGTAAGCAGCTTACTGAAAATTTATTAAGTTGAAATAATTCTTTCAGTTTAAGGTACTTTGGTATGATCTTGTGATAATCGGCCAATATAAAGCTTTTATTAAAATTCTGATAAAAATAGAACATTATATTAAAGTGACCCCACTGAGGATTTTTTTTCGAGATTAATGTTTATTTGATAAAAGTCTAGACAAAAACAAACTTGTGATCAATAATTTCAGATCATTCGCTCACTCCATTTTCCAGAATAATTATTTTTATGTGAAAAAATACCCTAAACAGAATAGCGTTGCTGCGCTTTTTCATTCAAATTGGGCTTAGAATACAATGTACGATATCGTATTGTTCTTAATTATCTGTTGCGTATCTTTCTGTTTTAAGTTACTGATCTGTAAAGAAATTCAAACTGGTTTTAGGCTTTTCGACCTCAGTGGCGTTCATATAAAAAAGACGACACCAAATATTCTTAAACATTGGCCTTATTGTATGAATGATTAATTGGAGTCCATTTGCTTGTGAAGTTAAATTTTCAGCTCGATGAGTGCATTGATTTTAGTTTGATTTAATCTGATGAAACGATCGATATTGTTAATAATTTACCAATGTTTATTTTATAATTATCTTCAAAAAAATGCTCGACCATTTATATCAAAAGAATGCCTATCTATGTAAGAACGGAAGTACAATTTTGCAGGTTCTTAAATCAAACATCGATTATATTCAACGTAAAATTAAGAACAAAACAAAGTGCCATTGAAATCATTGAATAAAGTTTCGAGCAAAAATGACTGTTACATCATTGAATTAAGTTTCAGACAAATATAACTGTGAAATCGCTTAATTATGCTACTGGAAAATATGTGTGTGAACTTGCTGAGTTAAGCCTCAGACTAAAGTGACTGAAAAATCGCTGAATTAATCACCAGACAAATATGACTGTGAATAAGCTAAATTAAGTACAAGGCAAATATGACTGTGAATTCGCTGAATAAAGTTCAAGGCAAGTATGACTGCCAATCTGCTGAACTAAGTACAAGGCATATTTGACTGTCAAGTTGCTGAATTAAATACACGGCAATTTTTATTGTGAATTCGCTTAATTAAGTACAAGGCAAGTTGCTGAAATAAGTACAAGGCAAGTATGGCTGTGAATTCGCTGAATTAAGCACACGGCAAGTATGACTGTCGATTCGCTGAATTAAGTACAAGGCAAGTATAACTGTCAATTTGCTGTATTAAGTACAATGCAAGTATGACTGTGAACTCGCTAAATTAAGCACACGGCAAGTATGGCTGTGAATTCGCCGAATTAAGTACAAGGCAAGTATGACTGTCAATTCGCTGAACTAAGTACAAGGCAAGTATGACTGTGAATTTGCTGAATTAAGTACAAGGCAAGTATGACGGTGAATTTGCTGAATTAAGTACAAGGCAAGTATGACTGTCAATTTGCTAAATTGAGTACAAGGCAAGTATGACTGTGAATTAGCTGAATTTAGTACAAGGCAAGTAGGACTGTCAATTTGCAAAATTAAGTACAAGGCAAGTATGACTGTCAATTCGCTGAATTAAGTACAAGGCAAGTATGAATGTGAATTTGCTGAATTTAGTACAAGGCAAGTATGACTGTCAGTTCGCTGAATTAAGTACAAGGCAAGTATGACTGTCAATTCGCTGAATTAAGTACAAGGCAAGTATGAATATGAATTCGCTGAATTATGTACAAGGCAAGTATGAATGTGAATTCGCTGAATTAAGTACAAGGCAAGTATGACTGTCAATTTGCTAAATTGAGTACAAGGCAAGTATGACGGTGAATTTGCTGAATTAAGTACAAGGCAACTATGACGGTGAATTCGCTGAATTAAGTACAAGGGAAATATGACTGTAAATTTGCTGAATTAAGTACAAGGCAAGTATGATGACTGTGAATTTGCTGAATTAAGTACAAGGCAAGTATGACTGTGAATTCGCTGAATTAAGTACAAGGCAAGTATGACTGTGAATTTGCTGAATTAAGTACAAGGCAAGTATGACTGTGAATTTGCTGAATTAAGTACAAGGCAAGTATGACTGTGAATTTGCTGAATTAAGTACAAGGCAAGTATGACTGTGAATTCGCTGAATTAAGTACAAGGCAAGTATGACTGTGAATTTGCTGAATTAAGTACAAGACACGTATGACTGTGAATTTACTGATTTAAGTACAAGTCAAGTATGACTTTGAATTCGCTGATTTAAGTACTAGGCAAGTATGACTGTCAATTTTCTGAATTAAGTACAAGGCAAGTATGGCTGTGAATTAAATAGTTTGCTGAATTAAGTACAAGGCAAGTATGACTGTGAATTTGCTTAATTAAGTACAAGGCAAGAATGACTGTCAATTTGCTGAATTACGCGCAAGGCAAGTATGACTGTGAATTTGCTGAATTAAGTACAAGGCAAGTATGACTGTCAATTTGCTAAATTGAGTACAAGGCAAGTATGACTGTGAATTAGCTGAATTTAGTACAAGGCAAGTAGGACTGTCAATTTGCAAACTTAAGTACAAGGCAAGTATGAATGTCAATTCGCTGAATTAAGTACAAGGCAAGTATGAATGTGAATTCGCTGAATTATGTACAAGGCAAGTATGAATGTGAATTCGCTGAATAAGGTACAAGGCAAGTATGACTGTCAATTTGCTGAATTAAGTACAAGGCAAGTATGACTGTGAATTTGCTTAATTAAGTACAAGGCAAGAATGACTGTCAATTTGCTGAATTACGCGCAAGGCAAGTATGATGGTGAATTTGCTGAAATAAGCACTGTGAATTTGCTGAATTAAGCATAAGTCAAATATGATTCTGAAATTGATGAATAAAGCACCATAAAAATATGACTGTGGAAATCGTTAATTAGGTATAAATATTAATAAGACTTGATAAAACGTAGAATAACAATTTAAACTATATTTCATGAAGTATTAAAGAAAATATTGAGTAGTATAGACATTAAATGTTTCTTGAATGACAACAATATATCTCTGTTCTTTATTGATCACTTAAGTCAAGTTCAGTGACTTTTATAGTCGTCCATTTGAACCAAATGCAGCAGCAAATAATATTAATATTTGATAGCTTTTCAAAGGTCATGACTGGCTTGTGGTAGAAATTAATGTGGAAGCAAATTGAAAATTAGATCGTTAAACTCATGAACAACAAT